TCAAAATATTTCTGATTAACCATGCAGAGATGGTCACGGACAGAAACGAAAAATCAGCTGGATATGTGCACAAGCCCTCGAGGAAGCACTTTAGGCTGTATTATGCATTGTTTGAAAATTGTACAGACTACTACACCCTCGTCTAGAGCAGCTGACCGACTTCATGTGCAGCCTATGAAATGATGATGCAGACCACGGCAATAGATAGACTGGGATTGCTTACATTTCACGAGAGTGTACGAATTATTTATCATTTAAAGATCCTCCACGTACAAGGGGTCAGTCTCCTCCTGTTCTTGAGTTGCAACAGAAGTCCTGTAGGTAAAGACAAGTATAGTTTTTCCGCAATTGCATTCGCTGTCTCTGCTTACTACTTTTTACTCCCGAATCTCTCGGAGATGTGCGTCGAATATTCTCCGTTTTCGGGCTGATCAGAAGCGCATTAGATAGTGACTGAGGGTCTAAACGTAAGGATCAGGTGTCAAGGGCTATAAAAATCCCGGCCGCAAGTTGCGACAGTGCTGAGATACACTGTCAGACGCGCTCTGTGCAAACGGCAAAGGGTAGCCCAGGGGTTAAAGCCCTTCCAGGGGTGAGGTGACAGCGCCCCCCGCGAATTGCGGCGGGAGGTGGCGATTGCCCCAATTGCAAAGGCCGTAAAGGGGTATTCACACGATGGAAAAATCTCAGGGATTTCTCCACGGCACGCGCATACCGCGACGAAAACGTCAGGATTTGCGATGTGCAAAAGTCTCGCGTTTTCGTCTCGTGACGCGCACGTGCCGGGGAGAAATCCCCGGAATTTCTCCCTTGTGTGAATACCCCTTAAGAAGAGAAAGAGAGCGCGCGCTTCCAATCTGGCAGTGCCCCGGGAGACTGGCACGTGTTCTATCGCGACGGTATCCTGTCTTCTTCTTTTTTTTTTTTTTTTGCGGCCGTGCAACGATACTGAGTATGAATGTTTCTCATTTTACGCGAGCTTACTGGCACTAGTGGGATCCAAGTATATTCACACGCAACGCCACTGACCACGAAACTTCTTTGTCATTGCGCACTTTGAAGGACAAAAGCGGACGTTCTCTCAATCTCTCCATCGGAATACTTGATGACGAAGTTGTGGGCATTGCATCGTTGGCGTTGTCGACAATGCGACCCCCAGGATTTCGGCATCAAACTTTCTGATCCTCGCGGTGATAATATTTAAATGCGGTTCATACAGTGGATGTGAGCGCTGCGCGATCATTCGATTTGTGCTTGTGACAATCACTGCCGCTACATGCATTCGGGTTGCGGTTCGTGCCCAATCGCTGCGATGACGGAAATAACCAAATCTTAACAATATGTGGAACTAAGCACGTGCCTTGTGCTTTGCCAATCCCAGCGCATGGTTAAGGCAAGCATTGGACGCGGGCATATAATGAGCTCCAGATCACGTGCCCTCTTCTTCTGGCTGCGAGTTGAGGGCTGTTATTCCGCTTTCTACGGCTGCTATTCCGTGGAGAAGAAAACAAAAATGACCGCATCTCTACGTGGTGAATGATGTTAATTGGGGCGAAGCTCTGGTGGTGCCGATGATACTGTTTTTGTTCATAGGTGGTGCTGATGCAAAGTTTAACACGATTATATACGCATTTGACCGCAGCGCCCTCTCCTGTATAGACGTTGAGCGGCTACACGCAACGTTTCATCCATGACAGAAACCCCAGCTCTTGAGTTACTACCACATCTCAGAGCCCTCTACTCGTCCCGCAGTCGTGGCCGAGTGCTTAAGGCGATGGACTAGAAATCCATTCGGGTCTCCCCGCACAGGTTCGAATCCTGTCGACTGCGCAAACATTTTTTTTATATTTTCTTAACAGATGGGATGGCAATCGATGTGAGCACGGACGCCAGACAAGGCTAGACCGTAAGGAGCTTCGCCCCTAAAATTAACGCGTGTTTCGTAGGGTAAGAATGTCAAGGAATAACTCAAAGCGTACTGAAAGTACAAAAATTTCTGCATCACCCTTTTAACAATGCACACTATATAGATCTAATACGCCAATCGCACACAAAAATATAACCGGCACACCTGCACATATTATTACTTTATTCCTGACGTCTTTTGCGCAACAACACAGAAGTGATCGCGTGAGAGACACGGGTCATGGTAAGCATATTGCTGACCTTTCGAGGAGAGGCGATTAGAGGGTCTCGCTAACGTCTAGAAAAACAATGTTTGAACCCGTAAGTTGCATTTTCGCTTGTTTTCATGCCCTTTCTTTTATATTTCTCGTCACACTTCACGAATGGAATATTACTATAGCCGTTGACGAGATGAGAACCGTAGGAAGCTATTTCGGTTGGCCCGCCACTAGCGGAAGCTTCCTGTAGCTTCGATAATACTTCGGCGTCTCGAAAGGCTCGAGCGTGCACGCGCAGCACGGCCAAAGGCAACGAGCGCATGCTGGAAGCTGGATCCCGAATGAGACGCCCATGTCGCTCTCATCCTGCCAGGTACCCTAGCGGAGATCGGCTATGTACGCCACAGACAGTCGAAATGCTCACGCCGTTGCGGTTGAAGTCACTTCCGTCGGAAGATGTCCATCGCGGGCAGCTGAGAGTCGACGCCGGCAGCACTGATTTGCTCACTCGACCGGTCATCCACTGGGAGAAATTCCAGACCATCTGTTTCATGGCTTCAGAGACGCTCAATTATAAAGGGAACCTTCTTTTATTTGCTATTACGTGCAATGCTATTAAGTGTGATGTATATATATTTTTAAAAAAAATGAGGGTACTATTTCCGCTTTTGGCCTTGGCAGACAGTGAGGTAGAATTTTCAGATGAAGGAATATCCGTCCGTGGAATCGTGTAACCGATGGCACCCAATTCTGTGGTGCGCAGGCGCCATTCCATCATGATTAGAGAGTCGTGTGTTCTTTAATTTTTTTTTTCGCTGTTTATCGAGAATAAACTTTCAGTTGTTAGTCAGCGCTTGTATCGTCCACTTCTTTCCTCCGTCCGTGTAACATTCGCGCTGTTTCAACGTGAACCCATGGCAACTAGCTTACTTATCCTGTCTATTAAACGTCTTACGGTTTCAACCATTTCTGGCCTGGACAGGCTTGAAGAACTGTCCACAAAAAACAGGACCCCCTCCAACTTTTAGCGGACACGGTTTTGCACCCCAGAAGAGCGCATGCAAAGCAGATCCTTTAGGCGTGGGTCTTTGCGTGGGTTTTACATAAACAACTCTTTTGAACATTTTTTTTTTTTTTGTTAGGTGTAGGACAGATTTGCCGTAGCAAACCTGAAGTTTACTTAGGGTCAATTAGCCCCAAAAATTATGTGTATCGTCATCGGTGAACAATGTCGTCATCTGGGCATGTCGTAACGGATGGCTTTTTCTAAAGTGAACGAAAGGCACATATATAGCAACCACAGTGTTCTCTATGCGGAGAAGCTTGACAGGTAAGGGATTGCACCCCGTCAAAAGAGAAGGGCATAAGATATGGTAAGCAACATGAATAAATTAATGGATGTACGCTGCTAAGCCCCGTTAATCGGGTAGCAGTTTCGGCCACCTATAGCAGGTGTTTTTAGTCAAGAACACAAATTTAATTGCTATCACAGTTTACTCGTGCAGACGGTCCTGACCTTACCTCTTCTCGGTCTCTCTGTTTTTTTGTTGTTGTTTTTTTGTTTTTTTAGTGTAGACGTCATATAAAACTATTTTCACAAAAAAAAAAAAGCACTATTGGTGCAACGTTCGTAACCAATTGCAGTTAGTAGCGTGCGTGCTTTCTTTCTGCATCCCGATGAGCTATGTCCGATCTCTAGTACCCGTTACTTTACATGTAACTTAGACGTCTAAACCACCAAACTGTTTGCTTAGTTTTATGGAAGAGATACTGTTATACAAGATGCGCATCTATGATATGAAAAAACACTGGTTTGGAGACACTTTAAACAATTCTTGTAATTTCCGTAATTACGACAGATATACTGGGTGTTCTCGTTTCACTATTAACTGAGTTCGATCCGCTTTTCTGGCATGCAAATAAGTCGGTTTTTTTTAATTGCCACCGCTACGCTTACATATCTTTCAGGCGTGATGCTTCTGCTACTAAATAACTTTCTATTGAACAATTATTTGTTACACTACGTATTATGCACGTCAAACAAAATTCGTAAAAATAGGCCAATGAACGAGGGGTACTGAATCTTTTCATACGGTGTGTTTAGGTGGTGCATTTATCGTACTGAAAAAAATTATAAGTGCGGGCTTCTGAAATTCAAACCAAAAACATTCTGTTATTGCACAAACAAAAAAATTGAAAAAAAAAAGAAAAAAAAAAGAAAGGAAATTAGATTAAGGTTGCCATTTACAGATCGTACAACAAGCGCTCGAATCTTCTCGATCCGCTTTCGGGTGCTCATTTTAAAAAAAGTTTTCAAGCTTTTGTTTCACGCGATGCTATGTGTGAGTATAAGCGACAAGGAGACTTTTTTTTTTCTTTTTTTTTCTGTGCACACAAATTCAAGATTCTTTTTCTTTGTTTTTTTTTTATCGTTTTTTTGTGATTTATTTTGAGACTTACACTCATTGAATTTGAGTATAACAACCTTTTGTAAAAGGTTTCATTGAACTCCGTTCATTGGCTTAGTTAGACGAACCTTTTTACGGTCGAATATCGACGAAAAATACCTTTCAAACTACTCATTCACACATTTGGTTAATGTTAGTCTTTTATTTATTCTCAAGTTTTTTATACAAAAAAGTACCTGGAAACATGGTAGTCATTTTGTTTGATCCAAGGCATGTTTACAATGTTGGCATGACCCAAAATAATGAAGTATATAGGCGTTAAACCCAAATAACACAGATATGAAGACCGGTGAAACTTCCTTAGTCAAGGTTCAGCTGTACGGAGGTTCAAATAGCTCTAACTTTTAAGTGGGCATGTAATTTCATCAGAAATTGCGGTTCATAAGCTCTCAGATAGAGACATGTGGATTCACTCACAGTAGTCGCCGCGGAAGATGTCGAAGTTCTCGTCTTTCCCGAGGGCTTTGAGAAGACTCCTCCTCCTCCGTCCCACCTCTGAGGAGGGAGAAGAAAGTACACGAGTTTCCGTCTCACTCGTGCCGTAGAAATATGACTTCCCAGTTGTTGTTGTTTTTTCTCGAGCATTTCAAGTAGTATATTTGAAAACGTCAAGCAGCGGATTCTGTGAAATTTACACTACGCGACATAAACAATCGTCAATCTTTTTTTTTTTTAATTCAGTGCTTGTAGTTAAAGTATTAGTGTGTTGAGAAGTCCTCGTATAGAGCACTAAGTTAACAATTGAAACTTAAAGACCACGAACATAGTTCAGAAGTAAAATAATAAAAAAAGTTCCGATCTTGTGTTCGCGCTAACAGTATTGCGCAGTATACAATGTTCTCAAAAATTAAATTTGAAACTGTTAAACCAGCAAAGGCGTCTGATACACTCTAACAAAAATCAACTGCAAAAAAAGATCGTAGACCACGTGAGGAGGTGTGCAACTAATACCTGACATGGACTGAGAATTGAATGATCCGCATAAAGAAACCATCGGGAGTCATCGAGGCGGCTGAAACTTGTTATTTACTTCCCAAAGTCACAAAGGCCATAGAAAAGTTTAGGGCGTGGGACTGATAATTCATTTAGATCGTCTCACAATCTCTTAAAATACACGCGAAATTTCGGCGATCCGGTATACCTATGCAGCAATCACTTTTCATCAGATTGTTGGCCTTTCGGCTGTGATTTGTGTATCTACAAACTCAGGCTGTGTAGACTAGTGCACGTTACGCACGCAGCCGCCGGAGGTGATTTGTTTGGTTTCATGCAACCATTTATTTTATTTTTTTGCTAGCAAAGGCTTCGTTATAGCAGAAGCAAAGCTATGCGGAGCGCAAGTTCGTCTGCTTCCTTGGCAGGGGTTGTGGTGACGTCAGCGTGCCTATTTCTGATTGGCTCTGATTGAATGATAGTGAGTAGACCTCAAAACAAGCTGCCTTGAGGTTTACCCACTATCCTTCATTTAGAACCAATCAGAGCTCGATGTTCTGGCGTCACCACAGCTCCTGCATAAAAAGCAGACGACTTTGTGCTCCGTGTTAAGTGAACATTTGCGCGCAAATAAAAAAAACTTTGTTTACAATTTATCATTCAGCTAACGTGTGAGGTTGGAGCTTTCACATCCCTCCTACGCCGCTGGCTCAGCCTTCCGGTATTATTTTAGCGTTCTGCAACGTGCGAAAAACCATCCAAGATATTAACTTTTTCTTCTTTTCGGGCAGATTCGACATTTTAGAATTGCGCGACCGACACAATTACACGCATGCAAACCTCTCGCACACATTTCTTCCTCACCGTTTTCCGCAACTGGAATGAGGGCGTTGAAGAGAATTCTTCCGCGGACTGTGGAATTAGATAGAGGGGTAGCTAGAGGACGCAAAGAGAAGTGATGAGAAAAAAGTCAACGCTTTATCTATTAGAACACTGGCATGAGATGATTATGTCTTGAACGTAGAGCGCGTGGTATGTGAATGACACACTTCGTTTCACTACAGGCCCGCGATCACTGCCCACGCTGGATCTCATGGTGCCAATCAAGCAGCGAAAAAAAGTGCATCGTCACGGCTCTCGATGCCTTTTCGAGTCTGCTCTATCCCCAACTGAGCCAATCACGTACAGCGCCGCAATCGCATAAGCTTTTTTTTTTTTTTTTTTTTTTTTTTTTTTTTTTTTGTGCGTGATAAGGATTTAGTCGCGGCGATTGAAAAACCCCCAAGACAACGAGCAAAGCGCCGAAGCACGTTTCGCGCTGCTCAGTAATTCTTTGGCTGCGGTCGTATACCTAAAGTGAAACGGAGTACCACTCTAAAAAAAGCCCGTGCGTCTACTTTCCCGCACAGCACTCGGAGAGCCAATCACGGCAACTCACGGAGTCAGCTCAGCGAATGACGATGCCGAAACATATGTTTAGACCAAAAAACGCAGTTTGAGTTGTGACGTTAAGCAGTGCAAGCGTGACGTTTCGCATTGCTTAATGCCACACCTCAGACTGCGTTTTTTTTTTTTTTTTTGTCTAAACATATATTTTGGCATCGTCATTCGCTGAGCTTCCTCCCTGAGTTGCGGTGATTGGTTCTCCGAGTGTTGTGCATGAAAGCAGACGCACAGACTTTTTTTAGAGGGCATACACGCTGAGCACTGACGTATAAGCAAGCTGCAATGCTGTTTTGTTTTGCGTTATCTAGCGACTGAAGCAAGAAACATTGGGTATGCCTGGGAGTGGCGGCTGCATTGTTCGAATGTGAGTTATTACTTTGGTGGCACCGATTATCCTAGCGTCTGAAGCGAGAAATACTGGGTAGGCCAGAAAGACGTGATCGCATAACACGCCAGTACGGCTGAAGCTACGACCTTGTTCGGGCCAATCGAAACGTGGCTACGAATCACCGTAGTGCGCTTTTACTGCGAAGAAGGCTCTTCGCTGCGTCATGCTCCAATATGTGTGCGTTGCGCTCGTATACGTACACTCCAAAAAAGCCACTGCGTCTACTTTCCCGCATAACAGTCGGAGAGCCAATTACCGCAACTTACAGAGGCAGCTCAGCGAATGACGATGCCGAAACATATGTTTAGTCCAAAAAACGCAGTCTGAGTTGTGACGTTAAAGGAGCTGTGCAACGATATTAAATTGGAATGTTTTTCTCTCTAGACGAGCTTACCGGCACACCTGGGACTCAAGGATACTCACACGCAACGCTTTTGGCCAAGAAACTCCTTTGTTGCGGTGTAATTTCAAGGACAAAAGCGATCATTTTCATTCAATCTCTCCTTTGCAAAATTTGATGACGTAACTCGGGGATCGCAGTACACCCAAGTGACGATATCTGAATGCGGTTCATAGATTGGACCCGAGCATTACGTGGGCACTCGACTTGGGCTCGTGACAATTGCTAGCTCGAGGAGCATTCGGGTTGTGACCCGTGTCCAATCGCTGCAACGACGACAACAGCCGAGCCATAACAATGTCTGGAACTCAGCGCGTGTCCTGCGCTTTGCCAACCCCAGCGCGTGGCTATGATCCACACTGGCGGCATATAATCGGCTCCAGATCACGTGGCCGCCTGTTCTGGCTGCGAGTTGAGGGGGTGAACGCTGCTCGTTTTTCTTAAATTTTTTTCTGGGACTTCTATTGCGTGGGGTGAAAAACGAACGCGTGTTTCATAGGTCATTAACGTTAGGGATCCGTTTTAAGCGGTATTTGTGCACAGTACAAAAATTGTTGCACAGCTCCTTTAAGCAATGCACGCGAGACATTTTGCTTAATGTCACAACTCAGGCTGCGTTTTTTGGTCTAAACATACACCCTAAGAAATGCCTGCACGTCTACTTACCCGCCAAACACTCGAAGAGCCAATCACTGCGATCTACGAAATCAGCTCAGCGAATTATGAGGCAGAACATCTGTTTAGACCTCAAAATAAAGTCCGCGCTGTGGCATTACGCAATGCAAGCATGACGTTTTGCATTGCGTATGCCACAGCGCCTTTAACGAGGCGGTTTATACAATGGGAAGTTCAGCTGGTTTTCGCAATCTAAGTACGGTTTATACAACGCGCGTCCCTGGTTTCGAGACTGTACGTCAGTGTTGCCCGTCTGCGCTGGGCTGTGGGTTTTCTTTTTGTTTCGTAAATGGACTGTGGCAGCCTGCATAGGCGCAATTCCGGACGTTTTGCGTCGGCGCAATTCCGAACGTTTTGTCTTTTCTCTTTTTCTGCCGAATATAATTTCTCGAGGCCTTTAAGAAAGCATTGTATCACCTTTTGGACATAAACGAATAAAGTTCGTGCGCGACAAAACGAATGCAAGTGGAATGTTTGTTTTATTTTACGCAGATTTTTCTCGCCGCCAAACGCTCACCCGTGTCAATCTACAAAGATCTTAACTGTCGAAAATAGTTTCCCACACACAATAGCCGAAAGGCATTGGTGTTCGCCTCTCAGAGCACGAAATTCAACGAGTCTCACAATCGAACAGCATACCGTACGTACACCACGGTGCCTCGTTCGGTGCACGGTGCCTCGTGCACCGAACACGGTTAATTTGAGAAATATCTCAAATAACACACCATATGTAGACGGAATTCGGACTTGTTTTATAGGGCACGGTATAAAAGAGCTTGTTCTTCGCAGTGCACAAAAGCAAAGGAACGGACGTGTGTTTTGTCTCGTACCCCATCCGTCGTCGCAAACCGTTGGACAATGCTTTTTTGTCTTTTCTTTTTTTTTCGAATGCCGAGCATGTTTCGAGTACACTGCTACGAGCCACGCTGTGAAAAATAACACAAGAAAGGGTAACCAGCTTGAAAAAGTAAAGGAAAAAAAAAGCTTTCAAGAAAGGCTGGCGAACTCTGAATGATGCTCAACGCAGGTGGTGAGTCGCGCTGACCAGGTTTTCAGTGCTCAGGCGGGTTGCAGAAATTTATAGCCAATACGGATCGCGAGAGTCGCAGAATGGTGGCGCCCGGAGAGCTCTTTTTGGGAAATGTCTATAGGCGATCCTCACCGAAGCAAATACGGCACAGTCGCCTGAAACTGTCTAGTCGAGTGTGTATTTCATGATGTTGGAGACCGTACAGTCAGTGGAAATATAAGCTGGTCAATACTATACTACTGTACTCGTTTTAACAATCAAGAAAAAAATTTACGCATTGTTTATAAGCGTTGCTTCTGGCGTTTTAAACGTGCACGTCTTGATAAAATATCACGTACAGTCACGATCAGAAGTAATTGGAACACGGGAGCGGTGGCCCAACTGCATTGCAGCGCGATCTAGCCGCGCTCATAGGAACTGATAGGAGACTAAGCGCATGCCTACCTGCCGGCGTCGACAGTCCCTCTGCACAGATCTATCTATTTCATTTACCGGCGGTGCAAATAATCCTTCGCTGCTTCTCAGATACAGCACTGCAACCGTGATGGCGTTGATAGCGTCCGTCAGCGTTACGAGGACACTCCCCGCGAGCGCGAACTGAGGAAACGGGTGCACTCTAAAGCGGTTCGATGCCGGTTCAATGACGCGGCAAATGCTGCGTGACGCATCGCTTCGTAAAAAAGGTCTTTAAATTGTTCTCGAGTAGATAGCAACGCCAGCTGCAGAAGCTCACAGTCAAAGTTGACAAAGACCATTAATTCAAGCAACGAACAGCGTTTTTATTTTATTTGTGTCAAGATAAGATATTGCCGCGCGCGCAGCTGGCCAAGTAGGCAGCGCGCACGTGGCCTAACGGTTATCGCGCTTGCCTCCCACGCAGAAGGCCAGGGTTCGATTCCTGGCCGCGACTACACATTTTTGTTGACAGTGTAATTTGATGTTCTAGTGAATTCGAGAACCGTCTTGCTGATTCGAGGTTAGAATGTTCTACACACCGAACCTTCTACGCCGAACGATCCAGAAACCCACGAGGGTGTACATAAGGGATTCCGCAAGGCGAGCGGAGTCAGTTTAGCCCCATGCGTTCGACTCTGCTGCTACGCCGACCTCGACGCCCGCGACGCTCTGTTATTATCTTTTGTACCCTTTTATTTTGGCACAAGTTCGCCACATTGAACGTTTATTTCTTCCTGTTCATTTCTTGTTTATTGGTCACCACCCGTGACATTTTGGTGGAGGTGCGGGGTACCCGCATGCCCGTGCAGCGCTCCCCTCCGAGTTCCCGCAGTGCAAGTCCGGACCCAGCCTCCTGAGGACCGAGCGAAGACCAGATCGAGACCCGATCCAGTCGCCGCACCCAAGGTCTACCCCCGGAACACGGACTTCTGCCACCCCGGACCAGGCAGCCAACGAGGCCGACGATGGACAACCAGTCGTCGCAGAACCCGTCCGCCGCCGCCGTCGTATACCTTCCCGTCGCACCCCGGACTCCGACGCCATTCCACGGGGAGGTCCACGAGGACGTTGAAGATTGGCTGCAACATTACGAACGAGTTGCTCGCCATAACGCATGGACTCCGGAGCAGTGCCTTCAGAACGTCTACTTCGCTCTGGAAGGCACGGCACGCATCTGGTTCGAGAACCACGAAGCGTCAATTTCGTCGTGGCAAGACTTCCAGACGGAACTTAGACGCACGTTTGCCAGCCAGCAGCGACGTCAGCGGGCCGAGGAACTTCTTCAAGCAAGAAGCCAAGGGCCAAACGAGAGCGTCACAAGTTTCGTCGAGGACGTTCTCCGCCTCATGAACCGCGCCGACCCAAACGCTCCTGACGAGAAGAAGCTGCGGTTCCTGATGCGAGGGGTGAAAGAGACCATCTTCGGAGGCCTTGTCCGCAAACCCCCAGCCACCGTCGAAGATTTCGTCAAGGAAGCCACAAACATCGAACGGGCCCTTCAAGCACGGGCTTCCCATTACCAGCGACTTCCCGGCGTCGCT